TTCTTAGCTAAGACCTGTTAAAGGTCCTTGAGGCTAATTACTCATGGTACCACTTTGTCCTCAACTACCCTTGTTTTTTAACTTTGCTATCACAATTTCAAAAACTGATAGAATTACATTTTATAAATTCTCCCAATGCCTTGCTGGTATTTTGATATATTTGTGGTTTAACTCATAGCTAGCGTGCGATCCACGAATCACCTCGAGCTGCCCTCATTACTTTGAGCTGCAAGCTATACTGCATCCGTTCGCAATAAGTTTGTCTATCTACTTATACGTTTGTTATGAGAAAAGTGCCCGGGGCACCTTTGTTACGGAAAGGTAAAGATTTCGCGGCTTTATTTGTGTCACTCAATTTCGAAAAGAGACAAAACAAACAACAAAAACTGCATAGTCTCTACTGAGCATTCCTAACAAAACTTTGTAAACTTACGCATAGCGTCTCCCTTAAGGAAGCTCCACAGAAGTTCGCGATCGTTACAGCGCCAAATAAGCGGATTGCATGTAGTGATCTCCTAAAAAAAGGTATACTTGCAATTTAAAAACGGTTCGATAAATCACTAATTACCTTAATGAGATACTCTAGAACAAATTTCGACTTTCTATCCAAGATGTATGGTGGTGGTGGAAGTGCTAGCCCTGTCTTCTTCTTAGCTGTCACAACTCCAAAAATAACTGCTACGATTAATAAGATAATGGAAAGTATTCCTAGCAGAAACAACCACCAATAATCTATTAGTTCTAAAAACAACCGAAAATTCCACGAATTCGCATAACATATAATACAAAGCCAACATTACGCGTGTTCAATGTGAACTAACCATCTAAAAACGTTGTTTTGTCCTTGAATTCGATTATAGTGTATGCTTTCCCGTTTGCAGCCGTGTAATAATGATCAACATCCATTTTCTTCATGCCCAGTTGTGGATTTTTTACGATCAACACTTTAGTAGTATTAGCCGAATAAACGTGCTTAAGCATAGGTATATCGACTGAGACTAATCCTTCATTGTTTGTGATTTCAATACCAGGGGATCCAAGTCCTGAAGAACTGAGTTTTCTGTGGAGACAAACAATTTTTGAATTAAGCAAGGTAGTATTCTAATTTACGCTCAACTACCATTGTCTCCAACTTCTTTTAGATTAGCAAAGTACTTGAACGTTCCAAGATTACTGGTGTTGGTAATCTCTAATGCGCCTTTTATTCGATGGACAGATGCGAGATTTTCGATGTTTTTTAAAACTCCTGAAAATTTAGATTTAGATGAGAAAAGAGATTTTGAGAATTAAGCAAACCATTCCAGCCGCGAATAATCAAACTGCCATCAATGGTATCGCAGCCGGCAACAAGTGCCAGATAATGCTCGTTTACTTCCCCTCCGTCACATATTGTTGCTATAAGAACAACAAGGGAGGCTAACTCTCATTAAAGGATAGAAGCACAAAAACCAACTACAGTCTTTGTTACTGGACTGATCAATAATAGGGCTACCAAATTTCTTTTTGAACTCCATAGGATTGCTCACGCATAACTTCTTGTTATCTGCGATACCTGTAAACATTAATTACTTCGATGTTATAGTAGTCTAGGAAAACGTAAGAGAGACGATTTAGACCTAAGTACTGGAATAGCAACTTACCATGATCGCATAGCCTTTTAACGAGTACAAAGTCATTGAAATATGACATGAAGTCCAGGTTAGTAAGAGCTGTATTTACTATCAAAATGCAGCCAGTAAATTTCATATTCTGCCCAATCCCCCCTATTTCTGTGGTAGTTTCATTTACATAAAGTGTACCATAAGCTGAGGTGCAATCTGACAACTGATTAAAGGACCAGAATGATTGCGGCATACCGCATTCTGGAATTGACACAGTTTTTTTCCCTGATCAGCATGCAGTTTTTAGATTTGCCTTCATAGTCTTGGATTTCCTGTCCTTTACTCTCATTGCGATAGGATTCTATGTAGTCAAGCCGAAGATTGGGGTTTCCTCGAATAACTATCGTATCCGGTGGAGCTTCTTGCAGGAAGCCACTATCGAATATGACATGCATTAGGGATGGATTTTGAATGATAATGAGTGGAGGATCTGAAATCAATACTACCTTGTAGAAAATTGATGAGAATCTTTCGCATATAACTACTCACCTCCACAGGTTGATGTGAGGTTTTTAATAAAACTGAGATCTAGTCCTGTTAATGTAGACAACTCAATAACTATACACATATGTAATTGGCTGGCATTGACAATATTATAAAACTCTTGCGCATGAAGGCCTCTGATTGGAAGGACTTTTGGCTCGATCAAAGTACGATACGTGCTATTAGCGCAATTATCCGAGAGCTGCCTACGGTCGAATATTGTAACCACATGAAACACTTCCCCATCGCACTCTGTAAAAAACATCTGTAAACTTACGCAGTACATGGTACAGGAATTTTTTCCCATCTTCTTTTCTATCTGAAAAGATTGTTAGGGAATTTGCTATTTCATTTTACAAAATTCGATAAACTGGCGGAGCTGGATGTTAGCAACTTATGGTGCATCTCCACGTCCCAATTCTCATCCTACATTT